ATGATGATGATGATGATGATGATGATGATGATGATGATGATGATGATGATGATAGCACCTTATTACATTAACGTATTTTGTTAAAACCTAATAAAATAATATAGTGACAAAATGGAAAGTAAATTATAATTGTCCGTCTACGATTTGGCTACTGCAATGTGTTTTGTACTTTCCTTGATGATTTACAAGTTATACATTGATAACTCGTTTAAACATGAATATAATTTGATGATAGAAAAAGTACTTTTAGGGTGTTTTTATTTGTAGAATGACAGAACGTCTATTCATCTTTATCTACATGGTAGATTGATTTAAGCTATAAAATGAATAATTATACTTTTATAGATAACTTTATTCTTAAATCAAATAATAACCTGAAAGTATAAGGTAACGCGGAGGGTCCAACTAGGGGAGTTGAAAAACCCTTGATTGCAAACCAATGGTACACATGGGCTCCAGTATCCTGATGGAACAAATGGCGTATGAATAAAAAAGGTTAATCACCGGCTACCATGGGACTGCATCTCCTCATGTTGCTTCACTGCCTTGTGGATTAGATCTTGAAGTGGAAGGCTCCGAGTGTGGCCCCCTAAGAAAACCACCTGGGCAGTATCAAAGCCCTCATACAATTCAAATGAGATTTGCGCATGTATATCTGGTGCTTCCTCGTACCAATATTTGTTTGTTTAAATATAGACAAATAATTTTATTCATTAATATTAGCATTATAATTGTGTCTAGCGAACTGTGTACAGTTTGCTACTACTACTACTACTACTACTACTACTACTACTACTACCATTACTACTATGCTAAATATGTTTTCTCAAGGTAAAATAAAACGCCGCTTAATCTTTTAATCTTCAAAATTATTCGATTATGTACACGTGTACATACATACCGTACACATAAGAGAGTATTTTTCATTGTGTATCGGTCAGCTAATTTGTTCATTTCTTTACTCCTTTATATGTAAGTGTAAAGTTTACTTGAATTTACAAAGTGGAATAGAACAATACAACAACACTTGCACTGAATAAATATCAACAATAGGATATAATAATAATAATTTTTATAATGATAATGTAGTGTAGTCTACTTATACTCATATAAGTAGTTTATGATGAGGGTCAGACATAGAAAGGCATTTTGGCAGAAGATCGATAAGGAAAGAACTGAAATGAAGCGCAATTGGTAGGAAAATGCATGAACACTGGAATTAGAGAAGATGAACTGATATTTACAGAAGGGACAGTGAAGATTGAGACAATTGATGGTTATTTTGAACATTGACTGTTCATTGTATGGTTATCAGAATTTAGTGAGATAGTCGATAATTTGTGCTTAAATACATTCGATTATCCTCAACTAGTGTTCTTGTTCATTACAGTATTATTCTTCAGCTTTTTTGATAACTTTTCAAAACGGTAGAATTCAGCATTGGTGATTTACTTCTCTAACACATTCTTCTTCTTCTTCTTCTTCTACTTCTTCTTCAAGTTATTACTACTTTGATACTGATGCATACAGACAAAGATGAAGCTCATTTCTATGAAGACTTATTCTTAATTAATATCAGTGATTCCAAAGTTCATTTTCATATGTACATTATGATAACACATCGGACAAGGGCGGATAGATCACATGCTATATCATGAGATCCATGTGATAAGTGAGAAAATCAACCGTTGCTGGTCTCTTATGAATGAATGAATGAATTATTCATCTAGCCAAGGTCATCATTCACATGTCTTTGTCTGGGTTATTTTAGATAGATATATATATTAATTATCAGAAGGGGTTTCGTGAAGATTTAGTATTTTTCATAGTTGAAAGCGTGAGTCAATTGAAGCTAGACCACCATGGAAAACCTGGAAGCACTGGACGGCCGTTTCGTCTTATTATGGGACTCCTTAAAAGTACGCATCCCCTATACCGTCTCGCCAGATTCCAACCCAGGACCTACCAGTCCTGCGCGCAAGCGCTTAACCTCCAGAACCACTGAGCCGGTATCCAACGGTGTTAATGTCTAACTTCAACCAATCCATGAAGTTGATCAACCGTCGACCAATGTCTTCAGTGAGTTGATATCGCACAACAGACGTGGTTTGAACTCCACTGGTTACTGCTTCTCGCGAGGTATAGGACTCCTCAGCAGTGCTCATCCACGATCCCACCTTGTCAGATTCCAACCTAGTACCTATCAGTCTCGTGCCATATCACTTAACTTATAGACCACAGAGTCGGTACCCAATGGTGTTAATGTCCAACTTCAACCAATCCACGATATTGATCAACCATTCACCAATGTCTTCAGTGACTTTATATCTAACAACATACTTTGTTGAACTCCACTGGTTACTGTTCTGACGCGAGACTGTTAGGTCTTGGGTTCGAATCTCGCGAGGTTAGATCGTGGATGTGCACTGCTAAGGAGTCCCATACTAGGATAAAACGGCCGTCCAGTGTTTTCAGGTTTTCCATGGTGGTCTACCTTCAATTGACTAATAATCTCAACTACATAAAATTACTAAAATCTCCACAAAACCCCCTTCTGATAGTAATAATAATTATCATTATTATTACTATCATTATAAATCAGTCAGTGAACTGAACTGATACTGAATTATTCCTTCTCATTTATACCAGTAACTCATCTAATGTTCAATATATATTTGGATATTGACAGTTAATGGGTATAAAATAAGAAAAGTGTCAGCGAGACTATATTTTATGGATGAACTAATCAGGTCTTGGATTTTGGCTCGAAATTCACTCATCCACCTATCTAAATAGCATTTTGGCATTATAGGTGATATCAGTTTGTGATGAAAACCCCGAAATCTAGTTTCTAACCTTGACCATTAACTGTAAATCATAATTCTAATTTTTCACACTGGTTTATAACCCTGATTTACCTGCAGTATGTAGGTGGACATCCTCAACATTAGTCTGGTGTCGCTCAAAGTTCGTCCATAAATTATAGTCTTACCAAAATATTTTCTGAATCTTATTGTAAGCTAGTTGACGATGAAAATATTGCAACTGTGGTCGGAAGAAGGTTACGGACGGCCAAATCAAAGCGTGGCATCAGTGCTTGAAGTCACCGACTTCTAGTCTGAGCCATGTTGATAGATACAGACTACTTGGTTGGGGTCCGCGCGACTATCGTAACCAATAGTTGGAGACTCTGTGTGACATGGCTCAGAATCGATCACAATGGCGTAGGTGTATACACTTTTTATCTTCTCTTAAACTGTAGGATTAAAATTGCTTCAAATGTATCTTTCATTTTATACTATATCCTTTTATACAACCTTTCTTTTATATACACTGCCACCGCTAAATTGATTATTTCTATGAATCCAGTGTTCATCTTGTTATGCTAACGAGGTATGGCAACTTGGACCGATGCATATATGTGCCTGATCCTACGTTGTAGCTGACCGACTGATACTGCATCTTATAAACAATCATTATACCTAAATAAAGTTTGTTAACTGGTCAACATCGAAAAAGCAATAAAAAAACAAAATATTATAGTAAATTTTCTTCTTTAGTCAATCCGTCATAACCTACTAAAATGTTTTGGCAACTCACTTTTTTAAAACTGTACAAATATGGCAACAAATGTTGGTATTGTTCACTTGAATCTTCCTATTGATGTTTAGCACTGCAACTGGTCAGTCTCTAATTGGCATATGTACATACTGTGCGTATTGCCTCATTATAGCCTAAATTTACAAGCATGATAAGCAAAGATGGATAGTGGTTAGCAGTGGAATCCAGTTTGAAACGCGTTTCGTCCTATTTGGGACTCGTCAGCTGGATGTACCCGCATCTCAGAGTTGATGTTCACTCTGGGACTCGAACCCAGTGCCTTTCGTTTCAAACACAATAGCGTTATCCACTGGGCCACTGAGTCCTGATAGCCACTTGCTTGTGCAATGAAGTGAAGTGTAAATACCCTTAGTATTGTATGTTTTGAATCTTCATGTTTAGATAATATAATGAATAAAGAAAACTGTTGCGTAGAAAATGTTTTTTTCCAATTAAAGTTATATATTACTGAAAAACATTTATATTTTGAATGATTACAACGTTAAACTTCCATTCATAAGAAAGTTACTATAATAACTCTAGTGCTTAAGAATATCTTAACGAAATCATCATTCTAATGATGACTAACTACTCAAAACTGTATTTATATGAGTGATTACTATCCATTCGTAAATCATTGTAAACTAGGGAAGAACATACAATGTTTGATGATGTTTTGTTCTCTGAACTAGATGGTTTAGTCGTGAAGCTTTCATTGTTATTTTGATAAAGGTCTACAGGATAGACTGCGAGCTATATGTGAAGAAATTCGAACTTTTCACTTCTACTTAAAGTCTGTGGTGATGATGTCATTCAGAAGAACGATGAAAGCTCAACAACCAAACTGTCCAGCTCAAATAAAAAAAACTCAATCGAAATTATCCACCTGAACTACAAATGTTCACCACCATCTCACCAATATACAATTGTTTGAAGCTGAGTGACACGGGATCGAATCCGTCTGGGAGCACCAGTTCCCTCAATATTATAGGTACACCTTGCTGACTAGTGCCAAGTAGCATGAAACCCGGGTCCAGGATTTCCAGTTGACCACCTCCAACCACCATCTTATCTCAATATATATTGCACGCAGTGTCGAGCCACCTAGACTAGTGGGCACATTGCATCTTGATCGATAGCATTCGATCAGCATCAAGACGGACTTGACACGCATGACATTGATCACCACCCAATGATCAATCACCTGTGAAATCTCATTTCATTTAGTTGGATGTATAAAGTTTTTGGCTCATCATCAACTCTCATTTATTTCGAGATAATTGATCATTCCATCAGGAGATTATCGCTTGTGTCATTTAACCCCTTAACTACCCATTATGTTTTCGTTTTTAACCTATCAGTTTATATAAATATTATGATCTTTTTTTCTTCTTCTTTAGATCATTACAACAAGATGATTTAAACTATTTGTATCAACTATTATTACCATCAACCCCATGTTTAGAAGTATTTATTAATCGATGTTCCGGTTCTGGTGGTATATCATTTGATCAATGGCATAATTGTTTTGATATCCCACAAGGTTAGTTAGTTAGTTAGTTACATATCTATTAATTCATCTATATACATATGATCTTGTTGATAAACTACTAAAATCTGATCTGAAAAATACCGTTTTCAAAATAATCCTCAATCTGGGATAACACATAAATTCCATGTCTGTTTTCATTATTATTAGAAACATTCTCAAAAGATCAGTGCTTTCAGGTTTTCTATGGCGGTCTAGCTTCAATTGATTCATGATCTCAACTATCAAAATTACTATAATCTCCAAAAAACCTTTTCTGATATTAATCAACATATGCTCACTAGTGACTGGCTCCATGAGGTATTTCCTAGAGTTCTAGTAAGAAGCAGTGACCAGTGAACTTCAACCAGGTCTGTTGTGACATAGTAACTCACTGAAGAAATTGATAGGCGTGTCGCTCAATTTCGTAGATCGGTTGAAGTTAGACATTAACACAGCTGAATGCCAGCTCAGTGGTCTATAGTTTAAGCGCTCGCGAGGCGTTATCTTGGATGCGCACTGCTGAGGAGTCCCACAATAGAACGAAACGACCTTAAATCAGTGCTTCCAGGTTTTCTATGGTGGTCTAGCTTCAATTAACTCATGGATTCAACTATAAAATTTAGAAGTTCATTAAGTTTCTATGGTAACTTCATTTCCATGAAATCATTTATAAAATATTCTTTTATCTGACAATCTTCGGTTAATCAATGTGACTAGATCAGTAATCCGAAGTATTCCTTTAAATAACTAAAAATAGCACCTAATTTACTATCATAAACAGTAAATGATTAATATCTTGGATTCATCTTCATCACTCTCTCAAGTCATCATATATAGGGTGAGAAAAATACTACTTAAATAAGTGATTAATTAATTGGAACAGAGAAGATACAATAGACGTCAACATATGTATATATTTTCATAGTTAAAATCATGAATTAAGTACTCTGGCGCGAGAGTGATAGGTCCTGAGTTCGAATTTAATGAGGCGGAATCGTATATGCGGGCTGCCACCGAGGAGTCCCATAATAGGATGAAACGGCTGTGCAGTGCTTCCAGGTTTTCCATGGTGGTCTAGCTTCAATTGAATCATGATTTCAACTATGAAAAACAAATCCAACAAAATGGACGATTTCATATCGGTAATTACTTATTGATAAAATTCTATCTAAACTAATGATTCATGGTTAGGGTTTTTAGCGTGTGTTTTTTCTATCGACTTGGTTATCTACGGGTTAGGGCTACTAATCCCATCTCTAATCCTTCTCCTTTATCCAAACATGAGACGGGCAGTAACCGTAGAAGGGCTCCAGATAGAATTATGCTTCATGAAATCTGTACATCATATCTATCAACAATGTATATCATTATAACATTATCCCTAAAAAGAAATTAGTAAATCAATGGATAATGAAATGAAAAACAAAACAAAACGAAAACAACCCTTCCATTCCCATAAGTTTCATTCATATATAATTGATCAGATAAAATAATCATGACATATTGAACCGGATAGTTTGTTTTTCCCCAGTAACCACATACATGTATTATCTCCTTGTTTAACTATCTAATCAATCTTAGCATATCTTTATAGATACACACTTATACAGGTTGTTGTACATGTATACAAAAGGAGTTATTTACATTCATTTACCTTTTTTTGTAGTATACAATGGAAACTATGATGTAGGTAGACATAATCTACATGGATACATATTAGAAGGAGGTATACATAGACTCAATATTAGATTGTTGTATAGTATTAAACAATCTTGATTGAGAATGAATCAATAATGATGGTATATTACCGTGAAAGAAAGTTCATTCAAACAACTGCAACTCGTCAGTCTCTAATTGGTATATGTGCATACTGTGCGTATTGCTTCGATATAGCCTTAATTCACAAGCATTGTAAGCAAAGCACAGTATGCACATATACCAATTAGAGACTGACGAGTTGCAGTCCTAAACATCGATGGGAAGATTCAAACAAGCAATACTAAGTGAATCTAAACCTCACACCATTGCACAAGCAAGTGGCTATCAGAACTTAGTAGGTTAGTGAATAACGCGATGGCCTTTGAAGCGAAAGCTGCTGGGTTGAAGTCTCGGAGTGATCATTAGCTCTGAGATGCAGGTACATCCAGCTGACGAGTCCCGAATAGGACGAAACGCGCTTCAAACTGGATTCCACTGCTAGCCACTATCCATTTTTGCTTATAATTCTTTACTAAGATGATGAATGTATCAGTATCATATCAGGAAAAGTAGCATTTGTTTTCAGGCGGCCTGCATGGACATTTTGGCTATTTGTTCTTGCTATCTATGTAGATATTTTAACAAGTTATCTAATTTTTTTGTAATTATACATTATTATGACTATTAGTCGTATAACCTATTTAGGGGAGTTTCTGAAAAGTGTACAAACTTTCGTTGTACAAGTTACATAGGTCCAATTACAGATACCGTAGTTGCTGGCAATATGCAGCGAAAAGAATGTGCATTATTTAGATGTCAATTGACTGGACTAAGATGGTGGTTGGAGGTGGTCAACAGGAAACCCTGAAACCGGTTTTCGAGCTATTTGACACTCCTCAGCAATGTGTACCTGTAATCTTGAAGGAACCGGTGCTCCCTGACGGGTTTGAGCCCGTGTCACCCAGCTTCACAGTCAGAGACGTTACCACTGAGTTATTCGGGCCGCAACCTACCTCCTGTAGGACTGAGATGTAATCACAATTGATTGATCACTGGGTGGTGATCAATGTTATGCGTGTCACCACCCAGTGATTGACTAGACTGCTAACTTCTAACTGGCGATCAGTCATTACTTGTCGTGACGATCGATCAAGAAGTAGGAAACGGAAACTTGTTGAAGTTAGAAATGAGGATGATGGATTGGGGGTTATGTGATTAAACCATTTAACTACCAGCCTCTTATTTAGGTTCAAAACTCATCCCGCATACTTCAGTTTGGTGAGTCAGGTATTGTCATCAGTTCTCACGTATAAATATAACTTGACATTAGATACATATATCCTTAACTGTTAATGAGTTTTTCATAATAAAAATAGTAATAATACTAATAATAGTACACATCTAATTGACCTAGATTTGTTTCAAAGCTGAGTTCATATTTCAGTATTAAAGAATAGTTGGATGGTTGGTTGAGGTTAAACACTAACACCGTTAGATGCCGGCCAGCTCAGTGGTCTATCGATTAAGTGCTCTGGCGCGAGACTAGTAGGTTCTGGGTTCGAATCTCGCGAGACAGGATCGTGGATGCGCACTGCTGAGGAGTCCCACAATAGGACGAAACGGCTAACCAGTGCTTCCAGGTTTTCCATGGCTGTCTAGCCTCAATTGACTCATGATCTCAACTATATAGAACAGTTCCATATATTAGATTGGAACAATTGTCCATTACTCTAAATTTCAATGTCTTTTTAGTTAAAGTCAGTTTTTAGAAGGTAACTTGACTTTAAATTCTATTTACTTAACTCGTCATTGTAAACATGATCTAGTTGATTGACAAAATAATTTTGAGAAATATTTATATAGTTGAGATCATGAATCAATTGGAGCTAGACCACTATGGAAAACCTAGAAGCACTGGACGACCGTTTCATCCTAAACAGTGTGCATCCATGATCCCGTCGCATGAAGATTACAATCCAGGACCTATCAGTTACGCACGCGAGCGCTTGATCACTAGATCACTGTCTAACTTCAACCAATACACGAAATTAAGCGACACACCTACTCCTTCTGATAATAATCAATATATGTTTTGGAGATGTCAAATCCCCAGAACTTACTTCATAAACGGCTTAATTTTGTAATTTTATTTTGAAAATTCGAACTTAGCTGTTTTCGCGCCAATAGCGCTCTTTTTACCTTCACGTTATATTTCCCACTTGTAAACTATCTTAAATGCTATTAGTCCATTGTTTCTTTGAGTCTGCTATTTTATAATGATGCCCAAGGGCAATTTGTTGCTGTATATATATACGTTTGATTTTTTCCCCTTATGATTGCTGTGCTTCTGGCTGCTACGGAATATATTTCCCCGGTTTCCAACTTGAACTTCTTACTCTAGTTAGCTGGGTCTGGGACGCGTCAGAATAGCTAGTTTATCGGTCTCTGGTCACAAGTCTTTGTTCCGTTCACTAACTAGTGAATTCGTAACGCTTCACATATAAAAATATGCTCACCAGTGACTGGCTCCAAGAGGTATTTCCTGAAGTTCTAGTTAGAAGACATGATCAATGGAGTTGAACTAATTGAAAACAATGGTGAACGGTTGCGCAATTTCATGGATTGGTTAAAGTCAGACATTAAAACTATTGGATGTTAGTTCAGTGATCTAGAGACTAGGCGATTGCATAAGAGGCCAAACGTTCTAGGTCAGAATCCCGGAAGTAGAATCATAGATGCGTACAACTGAAAAGTTTTGTACTATGATGAGATGGTCATGCAATGCTTTCAGGTTTTCTACGATAGTCTAGCTTGAGTCAGTTTGTTTTAATCAAGCCACCCCCTTTCAAAAAAAAAGAATAATCATTTAATGTTTTATTTATTTTTTCATTCATTTTTTTTAGAAGAACGTGTTCAATGTAATGAATTCAAATAATAAAAAAAATTATAATCATGATTATTGAAATGGGGAATAGGAGAAGACCATTTGCCCATTTGAAAACAAAAAAAAAGTTAAAAAAAAAAGGAATATTTATTGATTTTTAAAAAAAATTAATAATAAATAATAAATGATTATTAAAAAAAACAAAAAAAAATTGTTATTGATTAAATACATTTTGAAAATGTAAAAAATTGTATTTTTTTTTAATTAAAAATGGGGGGTTGTAGAAATTTTTTAGTAATTTTAATATATACTTGAAATCGTGAATCAATTAGACCAGTTAGACCATCGTTGAAAACCTGGAAGCATTGGACGGCCGTTTTGTCCACTTGTGATATTCCTTCAGAAGTGTACAACCACGATATCTCCTCGCGGGATAAGAACTCAGGACCTTCGATTTTGCGCCGTCCAGTGATTCCGAGTTTTCCATGATGATCTAGCTTTAATTGACTTATGAACTAAACTGTATTTATCTATTTCTATATAAAGGATTTTAAGAATAAATTTCTATAGGAGGTTAATGGATAGATAATGCTTCTGATCATGATATCAGGGAATATGGGTTTGAATAATGTACTGAGCATTAAACTCTCTGATGACTTTAAATATACTATAGTAATTAATTCATAGTTTTCTTGCAGACATTTTCTAACCAGTTAGCATTAACATATAGCATATCATAATGTTGGTACAAAGGAGCACCAGATACATATGCGCCATACAAATGTCACCTGATTTCTGTGAGGGCTGTGATACTGCCCATGTGCCCAAACTGAAGCAGGTGGTTTAATTAGGGGGCCACACCCGGAGCCTTTGACCTAAACGTCTGATCCACAAGGCAGTGTGAAATCGTTAGGAGATGCAGTCTCATGATAGCCGGTGACCAACGATTGATTCATACACCGTTTGTTCCTTCGGGATACTGTAGCCTATGTGCACAATTGGTTTGGAATGAGGATTTCCCAACTCCCTTAGGTGAACTTTCCGTGTCCACCAACCCAGTTATAGAGCCGGACACTCACTTTTCGTCCTCTCAAGTTTGTAAACAACAGTAACGCCACGAGAAGTCAGTGAGTAGGACTTGTTTGGCAGAGGCTATATATGCGTTGCCATGTGAGAGCATTTGGAGAGGGGGGGCGACCCCTCCTCACTCTCGGCCGTACCAGGGCATTCGGGGCCTATGCTCCTCCACGAAGTATCTGTATAAATGACATTCATTCATTCATAATTTACAACTATAAAGAGATTACACTATCCAATACATAACTTTTAATACAACTAAGATTGTATACACTTAATCATTATGTTTACATTTCAATGATTATTTTAGACATTTCAAAAGAAAGACAATAATATTGAACATATACAATACATAATCTAAAGTAATGAAATTGTAACTATGCAAATAGATTAGCTCTAAGTTGTATATTTCACTGTTCAGATATTAAAGTTATTTAGTCAAGTAAATGGCTTAGTAACAAAATTATTTAACTTTATTATTAATAATTAATGACCAGTTTTGTAAAGATGTCAATCAAAATAAACTAAATATTATAAAACTTTGGATTAGGTCACTAAGATAAGTAATGAAATATTAATAGATTATAGTTGAATTGATGAGTTAATTGAAGTTAGACCAGGATGGAAAACCTGGAAACACTGAACGATTGTTTCGTCCTATTGTGAGACTCCTCAGTAGTGCACATCTAGGATCCCGTCTCGCGAGATTTGAAACCAGTACCTATCAGTTTCGCATGCAAGCGCTCGATTTCTAGAACCACTGAGCTAGCATTCAACGGTGTTAATGTCTAACTTTAACCAATCCACGAAATCGAGCAACCATCTACCATTGTCTTCAATGCGTTACTGATAATTCTTGTTAATTCAACGTTATATACGGTTCCTAAGCTATTCACGTAACCCCCAAGCTAAATCTACACAGCAACTTGAAGATGAGAGAAAAGGCGCAAAATATACGAGAAGCATCTCACTCCAAAGGTTCATTCATGTACACAAAATATAGGGTTTTTATAGTATTTTAGAAGTTCTTGGGTTTTTCTGAAAATTCTAGAATACTACTAAACATAGTAGCAATATAATAATCAGCTAATGAGAAACTCTACATATGACTTTTCACTTTCGTGATGTCTCTTGCAAAACTTCTACTGAACGCTGATCAGATAAAATGCTTCTTATTGTTTCTTGAATGTTTCTTGTCTTTTGTGAGAAATTTTCTGGATCACCTCAACAGTTACTAACTCACAACAGACCCGGGTGCACTCCATTTAGATGGTAACTATCTAAATAGCGATAGGTGAAAGATTGTATAGGAATTGATCTTTCTAATCCCTCAGTCTTTATTATCAAATGATTATGAGTAGTTATAAAATAAATAGACTAACTTAAGTGTAAACTTGTTGAAGACGAAGTTGATTAAGTAGAGTAATATGCCAACTTATGAGTTCGATTCAATTTAATTAGTGACAACGAGGATATCATTTGAATTTTATGTATTCTGACAAGATGCATATATGCCAACAAGAGACTGATCAATTACAGTCCTGAACATCGGTGGAAAGATACAAGTAAACAACACCAAGTGATTATAATTTCACCCCATTGTACAAGTAGGTGGCTATCATGAATAAGTAGCTAAATGGATAACGCGATGGCGTTTAAAGCGAACGATACTGGTTTCGAGTCTCCGAGTGAACATCAACTATGAGATGCAGGTACATCCAGCTGACGAGTCCCAAATAAGACAGAAAGCGCTTCAAACTGGATTCCACTGCTGACGACTGTGAGGACGGTCCACGGGTAAACTCGAGGAAGCTCTAAGAAGCTCAGAAAGAGCCGAAGATATTCCATCCAATCAGCTTTTGGAAGAATATTCCAGAATCACTACGTGCAGCTTTCCTATTAGACAATGATTATAAACCCCTGTGTGCGGACTGGATAACTATAATGATGATTTCGTTTTTAATAAAAACTATAAATACCTAACAGTTTTGTACCATAACTGATACTGTTTGGAATAACATTCATCCCACTTGTCTTTTCATTTTGCGACTTGAGAAGGTTCTAGCGTTCGATTGCTCAAGTATTACGCGACATACTATGAATCTAAATTCCAAATATAACAACCACTTTCCATCTTTAGATTCACTTAGTATTGTTTGTTTGGATCTTCCCATTGCAGTCCTAAAAACATCAGTGAGAAGATCCAAACAAACAATACTAAGTGAATTTAAATTTCACCACATTACACAAGCAAGTGGTTATCAGGACTCAGTGGCCGACTGGATGACACAATAGCGTTTGAGGCAAAAAGTACTTGGCTTGAGTCCTAAAGTGAACATCAACTCTGAGATACAGGTACATCCAGCTGACGAATCCCAAATTCTGGATTCCACTGCTAGCCACTATCCATCACTATCCACCTTTGTTTATAAATTCTGACAATTAGCTTACAGATTTTTAATATCAGATGTATGTGAAGACAATATTTTATCTTTATATTTCATATAAATAATTCAGAATCGTTAGTGTAGATTTTCACTTCAACTGACGAGAATACAACTTCTGGACAAACCGATTAGATTCAGGATAACAGGTCTGAGATTTTGGCGCGAAGTTTACTCATACTTTTGACTAAATAGAGTGTTGACATGATAGCTAACGTTAGTTTATGATGAAAGAAAACCCTAACCATCAACTATGTATGTATGTAGGTCGACATTCTCAAGGTCTTTTTAGTGTCACTCAAAGGTCGTCCATAAATCACCGTCTCACCTTCCAGTTCACTGTTAATTTTTGTCTATGAAATGTCAGTTCTCATTAGAACAGAGTTTAATTCTTACAGATAGCAATGTAGTGAACGAGAACACAAGTTCGGACAATCGAATGTATTACAGAACACCTTAGTAAAATCGGAGAACCATATAGTAAATAATTCATTTGCGAAATGTCAATCAATCGTCACAGACTTGACTGTTCTTGCATTTCCATTCTCAACTGCTTTCTGTTCTCGTTCTTTCCTCATCGATCTTCTTGACTTTCTGCTGCCAGACAGTCTATTCCTAACTAGCGTTATATACTACTTATGTCAACATCCGTAGTACACGCCACAGCTGTATGTTAATTCTCCATAGTAAAATTTCGAACTAAGATTAAAAAAATAAAACTTATGGAGTACATTTTGGTTATTCAATTAAATTATACTGATGATGACAAATTATACTTGGATTAAATTTCCATCTCATTAGTAGTAAATTTTATAGGCATTTAAAATACCTACTTACACCTGTTAACACTAATGGAAGAGCATAGGCCACCCACCAGCATTCTTCGCCCAATTTTGTCCTAGGCAGTCCTTTTCAGTTCTTTCCAGTTGTTATTCATCCTTTTCATATGTGCTTCCGATTCCCAACTCAGTTTGTTCTTTGGCTTTCCACTTTTCCCTTTCCCTTCTGGATTTCAAGTTCGCGCTGACCTCGTGATGCAGTTTGATGATTTCCACAATGTATATCCGATCCACTTCCATTGTTTTTTCCTAATTTTCTCTTCAACTGGAAGCTGGTTTGTTCTCTTTCATAGTAGGTTTTTGCTGATAGTGTCCGACAAACGGACATTCAGTATCTTGTCTAGACAACTGTTTATAAATACCTGTACATTTTTAATGATAGTTATGGCAGTTCTCAAGGTTTCAACTCCATAGATTGGAACGGACTTTACTTTCGTATTGAAGATTCCGACTTTCATATTGGTTGACAATTGGTTTGAGTTCCATATGTTCTTCGATTGTAGAAATGAGAACCGGAAACATGGTGAAAAAACATAAGTGGAAAGGATAATTGACAGAACATTTACCATAATTGAATTTTCCGATTAGTGACTAACTGTCAGCATGACTGTTTACATCTACATTAGAAGGATGATCAACTAGTAGAGTATAACACATGTCTAGTAAATACTAAAAAGATGTTTTCATTATT